GTTTGTCAGTATAATGCTATTTCAAGGGTTTCTTGTTTTGCTTCGAGAAAAGCTAGGGTCAAATCAAAGGATTTAATATATTCTAGAAGAGTTAGAGAGAATAATACGATCTACTAAAAATAACTTTACTTGTTTCTCATAATAAATGTCCATGAGTTGAAAGCAGAATATTACGAGTCCAAGCATGATGCTGGACAATGACAGTTTCCCCTGTGACAATTTTGAGATTTAATTGTGTTTTAACTTGTAGTAATTAACACAACATTATCTGTTCGTTAGGGTCAGGGTTTGTTCTTACTGGTTAGACTTGTTTACTCTTTGACCATCAGATGGCAGGTTGGTTTACCTCCTCCTAGTCCACACTTTGATGATGCAGCTATGGAGTTGTTTGCACAATGTTTTCCTATAAATCTTTCTGGTAACGCGGACCACAAAGGACCAGCTGGCCTTAATGTGAACGATCATGCTGATTCTAGTCTTAATGTGGTTCATGCTGATGAGGAGAAGGAACCAGCTGGTAATGTAGTTGAGAACAATGACGAAGAGAAGGAACTAGCTGGTAATGTGGTTGAGAACAATCCTCTTGATGTGGATAATGAAGGCAATGTTGCTGAGATCGACACTGGTTTTCTGGATGAGTTCTTACTTCCTAATGACATGTTTGGGGATGACTTTGAGGATGACGAGGCAGATATTGCTTTTTCGTTTATTCCTGAGCTTGCTACTGTGGGTGAAGATGTAACTGACGATGATGATTCCGAGGAAGAAGATAACGGACCAGGGGAAGAAGTGGGTGAAGATGATGCAGAGGAAGAAGATGAGGATGAGATGGTTCTCGAAGCTGCTGCTGGTCCCGGTCGAGTGATAAAGCCGACGTTGAAAGGAAGTTGCTAATCCTATATTATTGCACATGTGGTGTTTTTTTGCTAAACAAGTCTGATTTGCTTTTTTACAGCTTCTTGAAAGCATTGAGACCCAACCATCTTCTTCTTCTGAAGATGAAGACATGGAGGAGGAAGACACAGATGAAGACTTTGTTTGATCTTATTAACGTGTATGTGTAAAAACAAAGAAGAAAAACGTGTTTGTTTTTGTGTTTTGTCGCCGATCAGTAACGTGTTTAGTTTTAGAACGACATTAGGTTTAACAAGTTTTGTTGAAAATACTTAATACAGACTTAGCTTGTTAATGGCTCTGCAAATTTTAGTTTCTGTTTTTTTTTTGTCATCTGATTGATTATATTGCAAATTTTAGTTTCCTAACACCATTTTATTTTCACACCGGTTGAGTGTTATAATAATAATATATAATTAAGAATTTGATTTCCTTGCCTCTAGAAATGATTAATTAATTTTATATTGTTAAAGTTTGAATTAATGAGATGAGATGTTAAAAAAAGAAGAAATCAAATTTAATTAATTTTATGAAATCAGACGAGGTTTCTTCCAGCAACAGCCTTCTCTGTAAATAGGATTTGATCAAAGGAAAAGAAGCCTTGTTCCGGTTTCCAGCAAAAGAAGCGTGTTGATTCGAAACTGGTCAAGACATCATCTGGAGTGGTAAGT